CAAGCGAGGGGGGGGGGGAGGGGGATTGGTCAAGGCGCACAAGGTGGGGTGCTTTCCGGGGAGCTGGATCACAGGATTGGGGTAATTTTCGTGGGAGCATCGTTTGCCCGTGGGTCAAAGTAGGTAGTTGGCTGAGGCATTGGCAAGATGTTCCGTTTGTCGATACAACGTGTCATACAGCCAGGTGCGGGTTGGACGTTGGGGGAATGCTCTGTGGAGGGCATCGATAACACAAAAATATATGTTTGGGATATTTCGGATGGGCTTCTTTTGTGGTGGTGTTGAAGCTGTCAAGCAGAGAGAGACTGATGATTGTCCGCTACAACCCGACAGATAGATTACTCTTGGGTACCTATCACGGGACACGGGAGATATGCGTCAAAGTTTCCGCGGTGTAGACTCATGAAAAAATTGAAGCGAGTGTCGAAAGGGCACTCTTTACTAATGAAATCGACAAAAGTTCGATTGTCATTTTCTTTCATGAGGCAGATATGAGAATACCCGAAATGCTTTGTGCGAGTTCGCTGTCTGGCGTGGTGCCTGATTTATTTGCCCTATTTTTCTGCGGTAGCATGTTCCCTGCCTGAATGTATATATATTTCTTCCCGTTTGGTCGACTGTGCCCCACAGGGTATGGATGTTTGGACAAGGGGGATAAATTGAGAAACAACAAAGACCTCACAGAGGCCGAGACAGCCACGTTGTTTAGCATACTCAACCTTCATATAGATGAATATTCACGACAAAAAAAAAAAAATCCCTGTGGGTAGCCTTTTCGAAGCTACGTGACAATGAAATACCCTCCGAACCAATGGATCTGGCCTGTGGGCTCAGCTCTCCGGCAGCCAAAACCGCGTATGCCTGCACATGAACGCCCGATAGAGAAGGCTCTGGTCCCTCACTGAACAACAAACTTCTCATGTTTTCCCGCGGAAACCGAAAGAAGAAAGACATGCTGGAGAGGTGGCTCACGCCATGCGCCCTACACACCACCGGTCGCCCCGGTGGTCTAGTGGGTAGCCTCGCAGCCTGCCAAGGGCCAGGTCATGGATTCGAGTCTCGGCAGAGAGAGTTTTTTTCTCACTAAATAAACCCTGGTCTAGGATGAAAGCGACGCGCTGCAAAGCTCGTTTGTTAGTAAACCATAATCAACTTCGTAAGTCGCGAGGGAAGGGATTGCTGTACCCTTCTCTCGATAAAAATACCTCAGGCATGAACCGCAGGAGGGGGTCCAACCCCCCCCTCCTATGTGACCCCGGTTGGGTCGTCTAGCTAGTAGAAGTAAGTGGAGGATAGGGGCCAGAGGGCAGACGACAGAGTCCAATGAAGAGAGAAAAACAAACAAAAATAAAACTCAAAGGACATATGAGCAGTACCATACCTTCGTGCTGCACAAAACGGAAAAAAAACTAGCCATTCTAAAAAAATTAGAGTTGTGAATCGGTACGAAAAAACGATATATTTTACATCGGCTGCGCAGCAGCCGATATAACGATATTTTCTCCGATATATCGCCGTAGGCGATATATCGGAGAAAATATCGGGCGAGCGCAGCGAGCCGTGATGGGGGCGAGCGAAGCGAGCCCCCCCATCGGCCCCCCCCGGCTGGTGAGGGGGCCTCGCCGGAGGCGCCGCCGGAGGCAGAAAATTTGGTGCATTTTCCTTTCATTTCCCGTCAAAATGGGCCCAAATGCGGCATCAAAAAGGGCTTGACTTCAGCTGCAAACATCGCACGGAATGTAGAAAAAAAAAAAAAAGATTAAGATTGATGTATTGTCGCGTATCCTCAGCAGTACCCTCCTTCGGTCTCTCCCTGTGTCTACTTCCCGGTTGGTTCTGGACATGGTGCTGTTGTCTGCTGTTTCTGCGCTGCTGTGCTGTGTGTGTGTGGCGTACAGGGGCTCCGTACTGCTGCGCATACCCTAAATTTGATTCACGGAGCCCCTAAGAAAACATCGGTCGGAACATCGGCACGAATTTTCGATACCGATATCGATATATATCGGACGATATATATCGTGTACATCGTTCCGATTCACAACTCTAAAAAAAATGCATGTACCCAACCTATACCGTGTGAGTCAAACCCAAAACAATAAATGCTCTTCATGCGTCGTTGGAAGAAGTCGGGTATGGTTCGTCCGAAGGGCCTTCACGAGAACTCGCTCCGAAACCTCACTCTCTACCTCTTTTTCCTTTTCCTCCACCGCTTTCTCTGCAGCAGGTCTGGCCTTTTTGTAGATTTTTTCGTACGCCTCCCGCGCGACTGCGAGGTTTTGAGTGATCCTTCCAATTTTTCTTTTGCGCGCTCCTGCTTCTTTCGCATTTTCCAACTTCGCTTCCAAGTCATTAACGCGATCGCTGGCAGAAATCAACATATCCATGGGATTCCCGGCGTCGTCATCCACAATCCTGTACATCGCCGCTGCCACGCTAAGGTTACTGAGGCAATACAGCTCCCTCTAGCCAACCTAGGGCCGTGTACATAGTGCCCGTCCACCTTCTGACGGTGTCTGCCTCCGCGCACAAAAAATGAGATGGGCATCGCTGCCTACGCCGACGGCCAGAGGCCCGCGCATCTACATTTGGTGCTGTTATCCCAAACACACAGGGATGCACTCCAGGGATGTGTGCCACACAGGGAAATATCTGGCTCGTCGTGGGGAAATAAATACCAACCAGGTTATTAGATCTACTAGGTAGGGAAGATCGGGCAAAAATCAATCTGCAGATCTACCGCACCCAGCAGTTCACAGCACAGTCAAATAACACGTTGCGAGAAGAGGGCTCGGAAGAGCAATCCAGTACATGCTCACACCTACCTTTGAAAGAACCACAGCAGGGACGGCGAGGCAGCTTTTGACCCATCCACTCAGCTCCCAAGCCGCACAGCAGCTGCGGTGGATGACCATTTTCTGTCACAGCAGCGTGATGACAGACAGCAGTAAGTAGTAGCAGCAGCAGCAGTATCCAGCATACACCCTCTCTCTCTCTCTCTCTCTCTCTCGGTCCCGGTGTGATCACTGATCTTCTCCTTTTTTGGCAAGATTCGCGGACGAAACTTGTTTTTCGTGTTATATGGCTTCCAGTAGACTGGCAGCAGAGTACATGCAGCCGCGTTCCTCGAAGAAAGATGAGCGACTCAAGCAGAGCGGGAAAAGAACGTCTGGTATAAAAAGTCTACATAGATATATTGACTAGTCTAGACTTTACACTCTATTATTCATTTTTTGTCCCATCATTGGACTCTGTCGTCTGCCTCTCTGGCCCCTATCCTCCACTTCTCCTATATAGTCTATATAGCTAGACGACCCGACCGGGGTCGCATAGGAGGGGGGGGCTGCACCCCCTCCTGAACTTCCTGCCTGAGATATTTTTATCGCGAGAAGGGTACAGCAATCCCTTCGCGACTTACGAAGTCGATTGTGATACTATATTTACTCACAACAAGCTTTCCAGCGCGCCGCATTCATCCTTGACCAGGATTTATTTAGTGACAATAAAACTCACCCTGCCCGGACTCGAACCCGTGACCTGGACCTTAGCAGGCTGCGAGGGTAGTAGACCACCGAGGCGACCGGTTCATACATTGGTGTGATTCATGTATATATTATTTTTCGTTATAGCGGCTCTATCTTTGCCAGTACCGCCGTGGTACGCACTGTACTTGAAGTTGTTGTTGTTGTTTGTTGTTTCTCACATTAGCTCTTAAAAAAAAAAAGATTGGGAGCCCGTGGTCTCAAAACCCGGCATACACGACCCCACGAAGAAACAGAAAAAAATAGGGTACAAAAACCACTCGGAAGAGAAACAAAATGATAGAAAGAAAGACCAGCTACCGCACCAAACGAGAAAGAGCGTCGAGGAGACCGATCAAAATAAAATAAAAGGAGAACGGGGAACGCTTCCCACACCCGCCTACAACGCCGGAGGGTTCCGTGCCGGGTTCCCGCCGACCAGGCATCCCCCGCCCTGCACCACACCCCAGGGGGTGCAGCAAGACGGGGGGCGAAAAACAAGTGAAAGCAAAGGTTTTCACATATATTTGTATTTTCACGAGCAGAGAGAGCCAGACCATCTATTATTTTTTGTTTTTTTGTTTTTCGGTCGTCACTTCCAATCAGCGCTCACGGCACTAGTAGTGCCGTTTACTCCAACCCGTGGTCACATAGAAGAGCCCCTCTCTACCCTCCCCTCCTGCGATACTTTGCCTTCGATTGCTAATGCGAGAAGAGTTCAGCACTATCTTCCCTCTGTGTACACACACACGAACAAGCGCTATCCACTAGGCCAGGAGCGGAAGCGAGAGAAAAACTCACTTTGCAAGAAAAGCTCGCTTACGCCGGGATTCGAACCCCTGACCTGACCTCTAGAAGGTTTCGAGGTCACCAACCAGACCACCGGGGCGACTGGATCTATCATATCTGCGGAATGCGGTGAAATGGTTGATGATACGAATTTTTTTTCTCCAGTCTTCTTGTGGCGATCTGCGATCTGTTCCCGGTTGAATGCGAGGCTTGGAGAACGTCAACGACAAAAATAATTGATCTGTATGTAGACTACTGTAGTCTACTGCCGTAGTCATTGATCATCATCCAAGACAACCTTCGCTCCTGTCAGCTGTCGACATCCCCGCGGGGAACATTAGGGAGAGCACGGCGTGATACGCGCACCGCAACACGTGCATCGCCGCAAGAACCAGCAAAGACTTTCCTTTAACAGAAATCGAGCCGAAGACAACTGGTTGGGGTATGGGAGTTCGCCAGCTGACGCGCTCTCCACTCACAATCATTTTCCCGGATATTTCTCAAGTAAATTTTTTCCGAATTTGTGTGTTCTTGGCCGCACGACGACGGACAGCTCACGAACGACTGGCAATCATCGGCTGCTCCAATACATCACCCACTTTAGATAGCTTCCCACCGCCGACGAAGCTAGCCGCGTGCGCTGGTCAAAGACGTGCTGCGGTTTTGACTCTTTGCCACTTTTTTGCTGCCCCACCATCCACCACAAACAACCGTTGGATTACCGTCGACCGCCCACCCCGGGGCCACAATCCACCAAACAAGCCCCGGAGAGCAGCAGCAGCAGGTTCGGAGCGTGGTCCTTCAATATGCAAACCGGCAGCGAACGTCCTCGGAGGGTGAGTGATGGGAGAGGAGAGAACGGGCGGGTCGAAAGAACATTACATTTCGTATGTATCTCCGGCTTCCCTGTTGTATGCATGATTCGTCTCTTGGCTCTTCGATTTTGGGATTGTTGTGCCCGCTGATCTGTCCGTGGTGGACATGGACGTCGTGACGAAAAGGGCAGGATGGGGGATTCGGAACAAGGAAGAGAGGCGGTAGGCGGAGCACAGGATTCGGCGGCGTCCACTTGACGTCCTTTCAGCGGTAGTCGCACACCACCATACATTCATGGCAACAAGCTTTGTTGTTTTTTTTCTGGGGAGCGGGTTCGGGTGGGTTTGCGTGGAAGGAACGATAGAAGACGACTGCTTCTTTTCTTTGTCGATATGCGCAATACAAGGGGTCTAATTTCAACAGCGGATATCCGTTTGCGTTTTGCGTTTGGTTACAGTGTACGATCTTACTGCTGGTCGCCCCGGTGGTCTAGTGGTATCCTCGTAATCCGCTAGTCGCAGAGGTTTATGTGAAGACAACAACGAGAGGTCGTGAGTTCGAATCCACATGGGGTGAAAATTTTACGAAATTTGCGTGTGAAAGCGAAATAAAGCTAAAAAGTTCTCGTGAGACCAAACTTCTACGTTGACGAGGGAACGGGACGGCTGGACCCTTCTCGCGGTAATGAAAATTAAATTCAGCACGCACCGCAGGAGGAAGGTGGGGCATGAAAAGAAATAAAAAGAAGGAAAAAGCCCTGGTGTCTACCCCCTCCTGTGTTGTTTGTTGTTGTTGTTTCTCACAATAGCTCTAAAAAAAAAAGATTGGGAGCCCGTGGTCTCCAAACCCGGCATACACGACCCACGAAGAAACAGAAAAAAATAGGGTACAAAAACCACTCGGAAGGGAAACAAAATGATAGAAAGAAAGACCAGCTACCGCACCAAACGAGAAAGAGCGTCGAGGAGACCGATCAAAATAAAATAAAAGGAGAACGGGGAACGCTTCCCACACCCGCCTACAACGCCGGAGGGTTCCGTGCCGGGTTCCCGCCGACCAGGCATCCCCCGCCCTGCACCACACCCCAGGGGGT